GCCCAAGGTCCAGAAAGCCCCAGGGATCCATTTCCAGCTCTGCCAGGAAGACAAGCCTTTCAGCTTCCTTCCCATGTTCACAGCCAGCGTCCCCACTTCACAGCTGCTGTCATGTGAAACCCTCACCAAGCCCCACATCCAGCAGCTCTACCTTGGCGGGTGGAGCATCCAAGGAGGGGGAAGTGGTGGTGGTGATGGCACAAAGAGGGGAGCAGATCTGCTGCTCCCACCCTCAGCCCTCAAGGAGGAGGGGCTGGTTTGGGGGAGCCTAGGGGCTGGGGCAAGTGCCTGCCTGCAGCTGAGCCAGGCCCTGGGGCTGCCAGCCGCCGTTCAGTTCTGTGCCTCCCCCAGCCCAGGCACTTGGCTGACCAGCATGAGGTCTCTCATCTATCTCAGGCCACCAGCCTGGTCTGTAAGCTGCCTCCCCAGGCTCCCAGCAGGCACTGTGCCTGGCCCCAGGTGGGCCTCATAGATGGTTGCTGGATGAAAACATGGCTCCTAGCCTGGCTCTTAGCTGCAGATAATCAGTTATGTGGCTATTTCTGTTCAGCATCCGGATTTTCACATCTTTTGAGGCTCTACCCTTGACTGCAGCCCACTGGGTCCTCTCCCCTCTGAAGTCCACAGGGTTCCAGGCTGGCACCCCAGCGGGTATCCTGTTCACCAGGTTGTCTGTTCCTTGACAACATAGATAGACTGTCTCTCCCCTCAGCCTAAGGTGTCCCCTGTCAGCCTGGTCTACATCTTTTCTCAGAGGCTGGCTGGTTTGGACATAGCCAAGGCGGTGGCTGAGCAATAATGATGCCCTTGACTGGAGGCCAGGCCTTTGGTTTGTACCCACCCCCAACTCTGCCCATTGTGTCCATTGCATGGGGAGGCAAACTGAGGCCTAGAAAGTTGGCTCGTTTCTCTTGGGGCACAGCACAGATCAGGACAGTATCCTGTGGCACCCAAGGAAATGGCCACTACTCCAGCCCTGGGACACACCCTTGGCCCTGGAGAGGTGAAGACTGGGGGAATGCTAAGGCGGGGGCTGAACCAGAGACCTAGGAGGGCACTTCCTCAATGGCCTTCCTGAGACTTTGCAGACTCTCCCTCCCTCCCGCCGCTCTGCCCACCCCCTCTCCATTGTCGGAGCTGACACTTCGGGTTGCACTTTGGGCTGCGGGCTGGTGGAGCCCCTCCCTGACCCTTTCTCCTCCCGGCCTTTCCTGTCAAAGGCTCAGCAGGGGGCTTGGGCAGCCCACTAATTAGGGCGGCCCAGCCTCACACCTGCAGTGTCCCTGGAGTTGGCTGAGGCGGCGACCCCGAGTGAGGCCAGGGTGGGGGCAAGCCGGGGGCAGCGGGTCCCTCACCTCCTCCTTGATCCTGCTGGAGGGATTAGGGTGGGGGGGGCAGGGGCTGGAAGCAGAGGATTCTTAGAATCAGCCCCAGACCCTGCTGGGTGGAATTCTCTCGGTGTAACTTCCCTGCCCTTTCAGTTGAGGAAACTGAGGCAGCCAGTGGTGTGGCACTTAAGTGGGCAATCTGACCTGGCTCCATCCCTCCAGCCGGGCTGCCAGCCTGGCTATCATCACTGTTGCTCATGCTGTGTCCCCCACCCCTCACCCTATCAGCCTAGCAACTTCTGCCCCACTCAACCAGATAAAGCTCCATGCCACCCCCTCCCCTGGGGGAACAATTATAGTCTGAGGGTGGCAAAGGGGTCCCTTCATTCCTGGAGTGGACAGTGGGAGGGTTCACTCCCTATCCTGACTCCACCCTCCCCTTTCTGGCCCACTCCCTCCCCAGCCACTGCAGTGCCTCAGGTCACCTCCTCCTCCAGGAAGCCTCCTGGGCCCACCCCACCCATTGGCCCAGGGAGCCCTGGGGCTGGGAGCCAGCTGCCCTCCTCCTAGGATCTTTCTCTACACAAAAGTTCTCCTGCCTGGAAGTGCTTAGCAGGTGCCCGGTAGAGAGCCAGAGTGGAGGAGGGGGGCAGAGAGGGACACAGGAGTCCTGCCCAGCCTATGGAGGGCAGCAGCTCTGGGTTTTGTGCCTGTCCAAGCCCCCCAGGGAGAAAAACCCCTCAGGCACCTGAAGGGGAAAGGAGGAAACTGGTAAAAGCCGAGGTGCAGAGCACACTGGGGAATCCTGCCTGCCCTGGGGGGAGGAGGGGTGGCTGTCAAGGCCAGGCTAGGGCTGGCCCCTGGGTATATCCTGTGAGGACACTGGTGTGCCGCAGACCAAAGGTGGTGGTCTTTGTTGTTGCAATAACATCTTTAACACAGCTGTGGAGCCTGAAGGGGCTCCCCCTGCACTAACCCCTGCCTCTGGGTCAGCTGTTGTGTGTGAACACATTTGTCTGGGTGGGGACCGCATGGAACAACACCCTTACAAACCCGGGGTGGGGCCGGGGACTTGCTGCCACCCCTAGGTTCCAGCCTGGATCAAACTTGACTCAGGGCTTATTGACTATAAATAAGGGACTGGCAGGGAGGGAACTGACTGGCGGTGTGGGGGTGCAGCCTGCAGGGTTCCTGGGAGGGTACATTCCAGGGAGAAGGAAAGCAAAGCATGTAAGTCCAAACTCCATACCCCACAGCCCACTCAGGACCCTGGCAGCTCTCCTGTTCCCACAGGGAGAAGGGATGACGGGAGGATCCTGCAGGGTAGGCCATCACAAGGGACTGGAAAAGAGTCAGTCAGCTCTTCACAGGTCTCCAGGTCTGGACTCTGGACCCAAGGGAGGTCCAGTCACTGCATATTTCTGGGCCTTGGGGACCTTCTCTCTGCCCCAGGGGAGGATCTGGGCCTCCATCCTCTGCACCCCCAAGGGCAGAGCTGGCAGGGCCTGGGGGCCACCTTGACCAACCTGACACAACTCCTCTCAGTTTCTCCTTCGCTGGAATGTAACTGGAGAGGGAGGGAGGGCTGGCTGTGCTGGGCCAGCTTCTCCCCATACACACCCTGTTAGCAGCCTCTGGCTCAGCTTAGCTGGTGCTGGCCAGGCCGGTTTACTCCAGTGGGCTGGGCTGCCTGAGAATTCTAGAATTTGCTAGGCCAAGAAGAGTGACCTTGGACTAGGAGAGATGGCAGGGGCAGAGGGCTCCCTTTGGTCCACGGGGCCTTACCAAGTTCTCGGGTCCAGACATCTGGACTCGGGGCACCCCTGCAGGTCAAACACTCAAACCTCCAGGGTGACACCCTCTGAAGGCTGCAAAGGTACACTCCAGCACACATACCTGTACACCTGGGTGCCAGGTGCTCACCCCCCCACTGCACACACACAGACATGTGATGCCATCTGACGACACACTCCCGTGTTCTCCCCATGATCACGCATGCTTGAGCACATACATGCACACATACACATACCCTAAGTATACAAGGGTGCACATGCAGTCTCTTCTTTTTCCCCTTTATCCAAAATGACATATACACCCACATTTCTTCATTCTGATCACACACACACTCAAGCTGTCACACACATCCACACATATCCTCACCTGAGTAAAGATGGGAACACACACATCCAGGCACATGCCTTTCCCTGGTCGTACACACAGACACCCTCCCCCAGAACACACACACGGACGGCATGCACCCATTGATGTGACACACACAGCGTCATGTAGTTCCCCATCCGGTACACATCCCCAGGAACACTCGATCATACGTTTCCTCATGCTGCGTGTTCACATACCCCAAACACACACACTCTCAGGGGCAGTTGGGAACTCTCTGTACTTGAGATGACTGGAAGGTCCCTGCAGCTACTCCCCTGCCCTCTCCTCTGGGGTGACCTGGGTTCCCATCTCTCCACCTGCAGAGGTGGCTCCTTGTCCAGGTAGCCCATGGCATCACTCCACTGGACCAAAAGCCCCCCATGTCACCCCAGCTCTCTGGTCCTCCTCTTTCCCTGAAGCTAAAAAGCAGTGCCTGAGGACCCAGCAACCCACCCAAACCTCACCCACTGGGGGTCATACTCACTGACACGGGGGTGGGTAATGTAGTTTCGGGTGACCGCCTGCATGTGCTCCCGAGCTGCGCCCAGGTCGCAACCACTGCTGGGGAGCCCCCCAGGCCTGCTGTCTACCTCTGTGGCCATGGTGAGGTGTGGAGCTGGGAGCAGTGTCTGAGCCTGCTGACGCAGGTCCAACACTCCAGGCCCAGCTGGAGCTGGAGAAAGCTGACCGGCCTGCCCCTGAGACTACCCCTCCCCTCCCCTCCCCTCCTCCCCCTAGTCAACTGTAAACAGGGAAACTTGGTTTCCTGGAGCAATTTCAGATCTGGGAGGTGCCCTAGGCCACCTGAAGCAGGAGGATGGGGGAAGGGAGGGCAGAGGGGTCCGGCTGGCTTCTCTCACCTCTGTCCTTGGCTGTTCCTCCACCCCAACCTGCACCCAGTGTGAACCCATTTCCCCCACCTGGAACTTCAGGTGCTCTCACAGCCCCATGCCCCTCATCACTTCTCTCCCTGGTCTTCCCCCTCAGGTCTTCTCTTCACTGTCCCCACCCACAGCCTGCCCTCCTCTGCACCCCTGCCCCAACCACGCCGGGGACTTCTTCCCCTGCACAATTCCATTATCAGCTTTTTAAAAAACCACACCTATGGAGGGTCATTCTTTGTCCTTTCTCCTTTGTCCAAATTTTGCCTCACTGTCTTTGGACTAGACATGCTCATATGAATTCCCGGTGTGCATGTATTAAAATTCCACTTTGTCCTGTTGATCTCATTAATTTGGTTATTAGCCTAGCTAGAAGATGGGAGGAAAGGTATTATTTTTTAGCCCCCACACTCTTTTGGAGAGTTCTTTTGCTGCTGTCACTGGTCTGTGAGCCCCCCAAGTTGAACCCGTGTCTCCTCCATCAGACTTGGGGTCCTTAAGCCTTTCTATCTCGTAATATTGACAGCACCCTGAGAACCAGGGCAGGTCTCCCTTTCTGATCCTAGAGCCCTCCAGGGTCCCATGCAGCCAGCCTCCCCTGACATATCTAGCCCAGGGCAGCAAGTACAAATGGAGGAACACTTTTTGTGCTGGGTGGTTTCCCCTAGGCTGGCGACACAGGTCTGCTGGGAAAGACAGAGTGGGCACTGGGTGGCAGCTGGACCGGCCCAACCCAAGCTCTGCCCCAGTCACCGGTATGTCTCATTACAGACTCAGGATTCCTCTCCCAGCACCCCATTCTGGGTGACTCAGGGCTGCCAATTTTAAACCAAATACGTGTTTCTGACTGGAGCAGACTGTTGCTCCCCACAGAATCCAAATCTTACCCCCCATCCTCCGGCCTAAGGACTCATTTCGGGTCTCTGGCCCCTCTCTCACAGTTCCCCTTCTTTCAGAGAACCCTCTTGGGCTGAGGCAGGGGTGGGTGTGACTATGAAGGACTGGCACAGGAGGTCTTTGTGGTGATGGACAGCTCTGATTATTGATTGCTGCGGTGGTCCATGAATCTCACACGAGTGATGAAATCACGTGGAACTGTGCACACATGGTACTGATGTCAATTTCCTGGTTTTGATGTTTTACCATAGTTACAGAAGATGTGACCATTGGGGGAAAATGAGTGAAGGGTACATGGAATTTTCTGGACTGTCTTTGCAATTTCCTATGCATCTACAATTATTGCAAAGTAAAAAGTTGAAGTTTCTTATTTGAGCAAAAAGGTGTTTTAAGTGCTTCATATTGCTGTGTCTGTGATTGGGGGGCCTGCTAAAGCAGGTGGGGTCTCACCTGGGCTTACCTTTAATGCCTTCTCTCAGGCTCTCTGGATCCACCCTCTCAAAGGACTTAACATCCTCCCAGCCCCCCACTCAAGTATTTTTATGTTTGAAAGAGGAGCTCTCTAAAGGCGATGCTTAACCCATAAAAGTGTCGATGTTACCATGGGCCTGGGAATGCCCATGTGGGAGCTCTAGCTGGGAGTGGAAGCCAGGTAGCCAGTGACCCCCCCATAACTGTGAAGGGGCCCAGTTTCTGCCCCCTCCCATGAGAGATCCCCCTCACCTTAGCCCATTTTCCTTCCCAGTGAGGAGAGGGAAAGAGGGGTGGAGGGGCAGGGGTGGTGCTGGGGGGACTCCGTTTCCTTTCGTCATTGTTTTACTTTTATTTCAGTGAGAGGCTCACGCATGCCACACTCACACACACAAACTGAGCGACCAAGGCCCTCTGGTCCTGGCCCAGAGTCTCTGAGCTGGGGGGCAGGTGGGGCAGGACGCGTGGCTGCCCATCTCCACGGGGTCTGGCGGCGGGGGTGGTGCTGTGCCTGGGGACAGTGTCACATCGGGGTGGAGGCTGAGGCGTTAGCTTTCTTGGGGCCCCCAGGGCTGCCTTCTCTCCGCGCTAGCCGGCTGTAGGGCGAGCTGTAGGGCTCGAAGGCCGAGGACCCCAGTTCATAGCCGGCAGGCAGGTCCAGGAGCTGGGCAGCGGAAAAGCAGAGCGCAGGAGGCAGGGGCCGCAGCGGAGGGGACGCCGAGGCCAAGGTCGAGGCCGAGGCCAGCGGGTTGAGGCGTGGGGAGGAGTTCCTGGGGTCAACCAAGGAGGTGCCCCTGTGGCCCGCAGGCAGGCCCGGCAGGCCAGGTGTCAGTGCCAGGAGGCTGGGGGCCCTGGGCACCGACAGCAGCCGGCCCTGCTCCAGCAGCCGCAGGATGTTGGAGGTGGCGAAGGCTTCGGAGGCCGAGGAGGTCGCCTGTTTCTCCAGGTCTCTGCTCTGGTCTTTCTTCTGTTTGGTGCGTCGGTTCTGGAACCAGACCTTCACCTTGGGGTAGACGGGGCAAGGTGTCAGGAAGGGAAATGGGACAGGCAAGGCAAAGGGGCAGGTGGGAGGAGAAAAGGAGTGGAGGGGTATGGGGGTGCAGGGGTGTGGGAGTGGGGGAGCAAGGGTGGAGTGAGAGGGGAAAGAAGAACATTCAGATTGTCATTAAGGTCTTCCTCCAACCAGCCTGCTGTGGGTGAACTGATAAGGGACCCTGCCCCCCCCAAATCATGGACCCCCTTCCACTGCTAAGCTGACCTTGGCCTAGAATGGAAGAATGAATTGGCAGATAGAGGGTGGAGCTTGGACGCACAAATGAAGTGCCCCTCTTGGCTGAACATATCTTCCACTGTTAGTCAAGTTCATGGTTTCAGTCACTATTTATTTGCTAGTAATTCCCAACTTGAGATCCAGGCCATTATCCAACTGCCTGGTAAACTCCACTTGTACAGCCCTGGCTGGTGTGGCTCCCATGCCAGTTGGTTGGGTGTCATCCTATGCACCTGAAAGGTTGCTGGTTCGATTCCAGGTCAGGGCACATGCCTGGGTTTTGGGCTCTATCCCTGGTAGGGGGTGTGCAGGAGGCAGCTGATCAGTGTTTCACTCTCACATCATTTCTCTCTCTCCTTATCCCTTCCTCTCTCTGTAAAAATCAATAAAAAGTCTTCTAAAAAGTAAAAAAAATAAACGCCACATGTACAGACCCAGCTCAGATCCACTCCCCACTCCCCCACACAGGGGCCCCTCCCCACCTTCTGTCTTCCATGAGGAGCACCTCCATCTACCCAGCAGAAACCTCAGGAGAGCTCTGGAGGTCCCCTCCCCATTCCCTAGCACAAGCCCTCCTCTCTTCCCTTGCTCTGGTCACTCAGGAGAGCCACCTGGGGAACGTAACTCACACCTAACCTCAAATCATTCCACTCGAATGGGGTGGCTGGGTCCCTGACACCAGGAGCTTCTAAAGCTCACCAGGTGATCCCAAGCTGAGAGAACCACTGTTTAAGGATCCCTGTGCCTCACATTTACACCTTAACATTTGCAGGGCTGGGAACAAGAGGAAACTACAAGGCTCTGGCTCATGGCCTGCCCTGGCTCTGACTTGCAGAGCCTCTCTGTGCCAGCCTGTTCTCACTTTGCAAACAGCCCTCATTGGCCACTCTATGGGCTTAAGCTTCTGAATAATGGCTGCATGGCCTGCCCTTGGGAATACTGATGTGGAGAGAGGCCCAGGCAGGTGCCAGAAGTGGGTTTGGGCCATTTGGCAGGGAATTCTGGCATCTTGGACATCAAGGGTGTGGTCTAGAAGGTAGGTACAGGCTTCTGGTGGTGGGCAGGACCCCTTGGCCTTGCAGAATCTTCACCCCACGAAGGGGCATGACCAGCGGAGGGCCAAAGTGCAGCCCTCTACGGCATGGGGCCTACGGCATGGGCCAGTTGCCTAGTCTGAGGACGGTCCTACCTCTCCGGTCTGGGCTCTGCCCGCCTCTGAAGTGAGTGCTCTAACCCAATCTAACCATCCCCCTGTTCGAACCCATCATAGCCCCCTCCTATCCCATAACCTGTAAAGTCTGGGCTTCCCAACATGATACCAAGTGAGAGGGTGTGGCANGTCCAAGGCCCTGGCCCCTACCACTCCTGTGAAGACAGAGGGTGGAAGGGAAAAGAGAGGATGCACAGGGCTAAGGGGGGCATAGGAAGACCCCAATGAGGGGGCAGGGCAGAGGCTGTGGCATCATCTTCCCCATCAAGAATGAAATTTGCCAAACAGTCCCTAGTACCCCTCTGGCCCCTGGCATTTTGATGCAAATCTCTGGATTGTTAGAACTACTTGAGGCAGAGGAGTAGGTGAGCCCAGCAGGGGGAGAGGCTTGGAGGAAGACTTGGACTGTGAGAATACTAGAAAAAGCATCCAGTGGGGGCCTCATAGGGAGGCGGGGGTGG